AAGAATAGGAATAGCACCTCCTTGCGTGCGCAGATCGACTGCTGTTCATCAGCAGTTCGGGTTCGTTCAGTGCGGAGTTTTAGGTTTTTCATGGGCATTCTGGGCAGTAGTAGTGCTGGGCGGTACCGGTGATGTTGAATTTCGGAACTTAACCGGCACTGGGCGGCGGCCAACACCGGTGCTAGGATAGATGACACCAGACGCTCTGTATTGCTTCCCCTCTTTATTCTTTCATCAGTTCCATTTTAAGCTATTTGCATTAAAAGAACAAGAAACTGAGACAAGTAGAAATGAATGCTCCATGCTATCTACATTAAGTAAGTTTACTTATAGTAGGTAACACGAATTGGCCGAAGTTTTGTAGATTTTTGCTTTTTTACGTGAATAACCGTACGTGCACCAGTTCAACTGTCCCTCGGGAGAAAGGTATTGTAATGGAAGCGGCAAGCCGACTGGACCTGCACAGTGTAGCCTATACATGTACTGGGTGCACTTTTAGAGTTCTTAGGTTGTAATTTCAATAAGTGTTTTACGGCACTTGCAACACAATAAAGTCGCATAAGTGCCAAAGATTAGAGTGTTACACGAGAATAACAAACACAGACTAAAGAGAATGGGAGATAAAGGAGATAAGGAAGATAGATGTTTGATAGGAAAGAAGGAACAAACCACCTCAGAGCACCCAGTTTTATTTTTTCTAAGAGAACCAGTTTTGATCATAAAAGTCAAACTAGAATGAGAACTAGGTTTACTTACCCATAGAGTTGTTTTCCTTGAGCTCTGCCTTGCTTTTCTTTGATCTTCCCTTGTCCTTTTTTACAACACACAGAAAGCGTTTCATGGTGACCGGTATATTTTGGTTCAAAGTCGGACTTTGGACTTTTGAAGCAGAGGAGGGTTAAAACGATTGAAGATTAGATTCTTTTTAATTCTCACTGAAAAGCATTTCTTGGATGCACTTTTACGTTAGCACTCTGCGGGTGAGACATCGGTTGTCAACCACACTTCTTGCTTCAACTAGGTCTAGCTCTTATATATGGGTGTTTGGGGGTCCATGCTTCCTTCTGATGCTGAACCACTGTGTGCGCATGCCAAGACGTCAGGGAATTCCCAAAATGATAGAATTCTATGAATAGCACATCCTTCAGTGCTTTTCTTTTCTCACTGTTATTATTTTCAATACACTATCGACTTATGCATTTGTTAATAATATATATTTATCTATGCCTTCATTGATGTATTAATTTTTTATGACTTTAACTGTGTTTTTGCTGTTCCCGAACTTTGTTATTTCCCTACCCTCTTACCAGAGAGTAGCCTACAGTTTACAGTTTTTCATAGGCTAGAACACGGCGAAAGACCCGTCTCTTCATTGATCGACAATCACGTATGAATGAGTCACAGGTCTCCAACTGACAATTTGGATATTTTTGCTTTTAAAAAATTGTATACAACAGTTAATTACTTGGTTTATGGAAAAGTTTTGTCTATACAATAACATATCTTTTCTGTGGAATACGTTCAAATGTAGGTCTTGTTTCTTGTCTTATTGCAGGTTAACCATGCGACTTCACTTTTGCATATCCCGTCAGTCCCTTGTAAATCCTTACGCCGACGTCAACTCATAATTCCATCATCTTTTGCCCACACAGCTAGCCAGTACAGGGGTTGCTGCTGAATTACACATAATCCACATGAATTGTCGCTGCATCTTCTTTTTTGATGTTGCTACAATTATGATGTACCGTTTTTTATTGTTCAAGCTACAGGTGTACAAGTCACCAGGAAGACACTTTTTAAGGGGTGGATTAAGTCCCTCGGCACCGGCTAAATAGGACTACTTTTTAAAAGAATTTTTCCAAAGACAAAAGGAAAATTCGGATTCAATAATATCTTTTGAAGTCTTTCAGTAGCGGAATCAAACAGATCCGTCGAGTTATGTATGGATGAAATAAGCTTTGCATCCGACAATGTCTCATACCGTATGTGTGGCCTAAATAGGTCAGAAGAAATCTCTGACAGCCCAGCGGTGGATTCATTCGACACTTTTCCATTTTCGGAGAAGGGAATCCGTTCTTCTCCATTAGGCGAATGACGAAATCTGCACGACACAGACTTTCCTCTGAATAAATGGCGGCCACACGTCTCATTCGTACAGATCGTAGTGTGGGGGTGACAGGTGAACGTTTTAACTATTCTTTTAACTAAAAGTAATATTTCTACGATCGTTCTGGCAGAGGAGATATGTGTATGTCCCAAACTGACCTCGCCACGACGCATATTCCAGCTATGGAGACTTACAGAAAGGTATCGAGATGCGTAAGCCTAGAGCCTACCTGCACGCACCATCGATCAACCAGAACGCGAGGACTCCTGCGACACGATCGATTCCCTCATTTCTGACGAGGCCATTGCCAGTAGCGAGGGCTCGTAACGCAACACCCCCCCCCCCCCAAACCACACACACACACATGCACGCATGCATGCGCATATACGTATACAAAACAAACACTAACACATCTGCTAATGGTGTGTGCGAATCTTCAAGTGGTGGCTGCCTAAGACCACTCCCCATAAGCGAAAGAGGATGCACACAATCACGCAGAGAGAGAGAGAGAGAGAGAGAGAGAGAGAGAGAGAGAGAGAGAGAGAGAGAGAGAGAGAGAGAGAGAGAGAAAGAGAGAGAGAAAGAGAGAGGGAGAGAAAGAAAGAGAGAGAGAGAGTGAGAGGGAGACGGACAGACAGACAGATAGGGAGAGAAGAGGGTGAGAGAGAGAGAGAGAGAGAGAGAGAGAGAGAGAGAGAGAGAGAGAGAGAGAGAGAGAGAGAGAGAGAGAGAGAGGGGCGGGGGGGGCGCAGAGAGGGTACACAAAAACAAACAAACACATTTAATAAGTTTGAAGTGGCAATGTTTAATCGAGTACGTTTTTCAGTACATACTCATCCACAAACCGTAGATTATGGAAATTAATGAAAGACTTTACTGTACGTTATGCTTTTTGAAAAGTTCTGAATCAAAGTATGAAATCAAAATGAATTTTGAGTTAGTTACTTTTCATTAAAGCTTCCTACTTCTCTATCAAGCACACCTTCTCTATGTAGCTCTTCAACGTTGATCTGTGGGAGAATAAAATATAAATATCTAATTTCAAAAAGAAAAAAAAGAACCCTATGTGACAAACAACATAAAATAAAGGCACGTTACCTTAAAGCACAAGACGAGTACCTTTTCACTAAAGCGCATGCACTGAATCGAAGTATCGAACGCTTTCCAAGCGATCCTTGTATGTAATTTTTTAGAATCTGCTTGAAGAAACAAGTGCAACACTACTCACTGAGACTTATGAGTGACTTGATCCTTTTCACTAAAGTTCCCTATTTCTCTTACACATGTTCTGTATCTAGCTTGCATATTCTGAGCTTCAGAAGACTAAGAACATTTTGTCATTTCAATAACTGAGCAATGTAAGAATCCGAGGCGACAAAAATAGAAAATGAGGAATCGTATTTTGAAGCACGACAATAATATTATTAATGGTACACTTCTAGAAATAATTCAGTTGAAGCATTAAACGCTTTCTAAGTTATGACCATAACTCTTCTGAATTTTATTATGTACGAAGGGTTAAGGGACGAAAACCACAACAATCAATGATAAACAAAACTTCATTTTTTTCTGGAATCAGACATCATCCTCCTGAACAGGGCCAACAACCAGGAGTAGTTGTAGAACTCTTTGTAAATCTGTGGTATCTGTATAGTGTGCCACAGATCATTCTTCTTGGCGAGTACAATACCAAACCTCGCTTTTTATTTGCTCATCTTCACCTCGCTTGCAGCAATGCCATCTCCACTTTTCCTCTTCAGTCGGTTCAAATCAAGATGTTGGTAAGGACTATGGTAGTTTGCTTATATGTGGAGGGGGTTTGGGTTAGTGGTCACAGTAACAACTTGTCGAACCTTATTCCACATGATTTTGTCCCCTTCGTTGTCGGTTGCGAGATTCCTTACTGTTCCTGCAAGCGCGGTTCGTCCATAGAGCACGGTCGTGCAGTGCCGCCCAAATTTTTAAAATAATCTATTACGTAAAGTACCCACAAACATAAAATAAAAGAAGCAAGAAACAGGCACTAGTCCAATATGATATCAAAACAAGGTCCTCGCTTGCGCCGTAACTATCATTTCTATGTCTATAGCTCCGTGAAACATCTACTATGCCTTGCCAAATTCCACACGCTGTAACTAAACACAATAGGATATTCAACACTGGTAACCTGACCTATAAATCGCTCTTTGGGATAACCCAAGCGATGACGACACTCGTAGCGAGTTTGACGGTACATTAATAATAATAAGCCGGCACATCCCAAATGTGCTCCTGCTGAATAGTGCCGAAAATAGCCCATAGTAGGCAGTCTAAAAATATACGCGATAGACTACGCTATTCAATGCCAAAAGTATGTGATCCTCGGAGCAATCCAGCGGAGTGCTCAAGTGAATTAGGATTGGTTCTTAGTGTTGCCGCTATTTTAAGTGACTCTGTGACTGTGAACCTGAGGGAGGTGAACGTGACATACCGTCCTATGGGTTGTGCCTTTGAATGGTTTTGTAGAGGAGTGGTGAAAGTTATTACAGGAGTGTTCAGTTCTTATTCAGGATGAACGAAGTTGATGGTTCGCTAACAAACAGATTTTAAATTCTAGAAATCAAAGC